TATTATATGAGCGAAAAAGTTATACGACGGCATTCTCAAATTAGTGAAAATGGTCTAAATGGCTATATAATGCTAAGTACAGAGGACGTTAAAATAAATGAACAATCCACAACCAAACCTTTACATAAAGAAATTACTGAAGGAAATATATCAAAAATAGCTAGTGAAATTGCCATAGCTAATAAAATAAAATTAATTAATAATCCAATGAGCTTCTCATCAAAAAACGCAAACAACACCAATTCCAGCCAAAAAAAATGTGGAAATACACTGGTGACGAAGAAAGCGACACTCAATCGGTAAGTAGCGTCAAAAGCACGCCAATAAACACTTCCATTTATACAAAAAGATTTGGTGAAACAACGCAACCAGAATGGCAACGGGTAAACTCGTCAAAAAGAAGTCGTTCAAGTCCCCAAGGAGCTCGACAAAGTTCAAATTTCAAACAAAAGAAGCTGGATACCTATTGGTTGTCAACTGAACCCAAAAAAAACTCTAACCGATATTCCGTGCTAGATGAAGACTCTCATTCATCAGAAAAGTCCATTGAGCAAAATGAAAAAATTACAATCTCGAAGCCTCCCCCAATATTTGTTGCAGGAGTCGGTAATATACAACCATTAAGGCAGCTTCTGAACGAAATAGCCCCTAATGAATATAACTTTAAAATACTTGCCAACAATGAGGTTAAAATACAGCCTAGTAGCCCAGAAAAATACTCTGCAATCACTAAGGCTCTTGAAGCCAAAAAAACTGAATTCCATACCTATAAACTCAAACAAGACAGAAGTTTTAACGTTGTATTGAGAGGCATGCATCCTTCTATGCCAGTCGGTGAAATCGAAGAGGCGATAAATAGCTTAGGCTTTAAGGTGGCCAATATAAGTAATATACGTCAACGAACAACCAAAAATCCACTTCCGTTATTTTTTATTGGTTTGAAACCATCAGATACAAACAAGAATATTTTCAATTGTAACAGCCTAATGCATACAAAAATCACTTTTGAAGCTCCAAGAAAAAAACGCGAAATTCCCCAATGCTCTCGTTGTCAGCGTTATGGTCATACAAAGCATTACTGTAAACGAACGCCCCGTTGTGTAAAATGCCCTGGTAATCACTTGACATCAGAGTGTACTCGTAATGTAGTCGATAATGAAGTAAAATGTGTATTATGCAACGGAAATCACCCCGCTAATTACAAGGGCTGTGAAGTATACAGGCAGCTTCAACAAAAAGCGTTTCCACCGCTCCGAAGAAAAGAAACCACTAGTCCACCAACGCGCACAGAGTTCGTTCAAGCTGGTCGAACATACTCTAATGTCGTAAGCAACGGCCAAACCATCACTAGTGAACCACAAACAAGATCAGAAAACAACGATATGTCAGAGCTGAAAGTAATGCTTAAAACACTAATGCAACAAATGAGTACTATGCTAAATATTTTAACAGCGTTCGTCGCTAATACATCAAAATAATGAGTGCGTTTAAAATTGCTTTCTGGAATGCTAATGGGCTAGCTCAACATAGCAGCGAACTACAGACTTTCCTCACTGACAAAAATATTGATATTATGTTAATATCAGAAACCCACTTCAACCAAAGAAGCCATCTCAGAATTCCGAAGTATTCTATATACGATGCCAACCACCCATCTGGAAATGCTCGCGGAGGAGCTCGATAATCGTGAAAAGCGATATTGATCACTCTGTGCACAACAAATACGAAAAACCATTTCTTCAGTCAATATCATTAACAGTTAAAAACAATAAAGGTCCAATATGTATAGCCTCCATCTATTGCCCACCAAACCAAAAAATTAAAAGTCATCAGTTTGAGGAATTTTTCCACACGCTTGGTCAAACATTTATAGCTGCTGGGGACTTCAGTGCAAAGCATACTCACTGGGGCTCCAGACTAATCACACCTAGAGGACGCGAATTGTTTAAGACTATGCAGGCCAACGATTTGCTTCACGCATCAACTGGTGAACCAACTTACTGGCCAACAGACCACAATAAAGTTCCAGACGTGATCGATTTTTGCATATTTAAAGGCATTTCAAGCTCACTATTATCGATTCTTTCCAGTTTAGATCTTTCCTCAGACCACTCTCCCCTTATTATGGAGTTGAACTCTAAAATTTTTGTAAAGAACAAAGAGCCTCGATTATACAACAAAAGAACAGACTGGAGTATTTTCAGAAGCATCATAAATGAAAATTTAACAACCAACATCCCACTCAAAACCGGTACCGATATCGAATCTGCGGTCGAGCAATTTAATACAACCGTACAGAATGCCGCGTGGAACTCAACCATGCATTTTAATGAATACAAAGAAGAACACATAGACAGAGGCATAAAGGAACAGCTACTTCAGAAACGTAAATTGCGACGAATTTGGCAAATAACAAAAAATCGTGAAGACAAAAGACGTTTGAATGAAGCGATAAAAAAACTTAAAGAAACCCTAGGGGAGAACAAAAACAAAAACATTGAAACATACCTATCTGCATTGTCTCCCAGTGAAGCAACCGACTATTCATTATGGCGGGCCACTCGTAAGCTGAATGGATCAACGCCACACATTCCACCACTCAAAATGTATAATGGACAGTGGGCTAGATCCAGAATCGACAAGGCTCAAATTTTCGCAGAGCATCTTCAAGGTGTATTTCAACCGTACCCGTGCATAAGTTATGAAGACGACACTGAAATTGAGTCTTTCCTGCAAACACCACATCAAATGGACTTCCCGGTTCCTAAAACCACAATACAAGAAATTAAATGGACAATTAAGACTAAAATTAAAACCAAAAAGGCTCCTGGGTACGATTTGATTACTGGCAAAGTGTTGAAAGAGCTTCCAAACATTGGTCTTGTTTTCATCAACCAACTTTTTAATGCTATTATATGTCAAGAATACTATCCAAGTCAATGCAAAGTAGCCCAAATTATCCTGATACCAAAACCAGGTAAACCTTTAGAGTTAGTTACATCTTATCGACCTATAAGCTTACTTCCGGTGCTCTCCAAAGTCTTCGAAAAAATACTCTTAAAGCGTCTTAACCAGATCACCCAAAGTCGCTTACTAATTCCTGCTCACCAATTCGGCTTTCGAAACCGCCACTCAACCATTGAACAGGTAAATCGTGTTTATCAATATGCAAGAAATGGACTGGAAAGAAAAGAATACTGCACTGCAGCATTTATCGATATAACGCAAGCATTTGACAAGGTATGGCACACCGGACTGCTCTACAAATTGAAATTACATCTACCACACAGCTTCTATTTGTTACTTAAGTCTTATATCAATAACCGATATTTCATGGTTAAAATAGAAGATTATAATACGAAAATCTTCCCGATAAAAGCTGGAGTTCCACAAGGGAGTGTACTAGGTCCAACCCTCTACACACTGTTCACAGCTGACTTACCACTTAACCCATCAACATATACCGCAACTTTTGCCGATGACACAGTGATCATGGCTAAAAGCAAAAACCCAACAGTCGCTTCTAGTCAGTTGCAAACAAACCTAGATAGCATCCAAGTGTGGCTAAACAAATGGCGCATTAAAGCTAATGAATCCAAATCTGCACAAATCACATTCACTCTTCGCAATGGTTACTGTCCACCAGTCACACTAAATAATAACGTACTACCACAATCCGATCACGTGAAGTATCTAGGTATTCATCTTGATCGGCGTCTCACCTGGAAACATCATATATTTACGAAACGCAAGCAACTGGGTTTAAAAATGCGCTCCATGCACTGGCTTCTTTGCCAAAATTCAAAACTATCACTGAACAATAAAGTACTTTTATATAAAGTTATTTTAAAACCAATATGGACCTACGGTGTCTCGATCTGGGGAACAGCTGCAAAATCTAATATAGCGATATTGCAAAGATTTGAATCAAAAATACTTCGTTTATGTGCGGCTGCTCCATGGTATATTCCAAATAGCACTTTACAGCGCGATCTCCACGTCCCATCAGTGTTTGAAACAATACAAACAGTCAGCAAAAACTATCGTATAAGACTATCAAATCACCCGAACCCACTGTCACACGAGCTACTATCAGATATCAATCATCCACGTCGACTAAGAAGATTTTCTACGTCGGACTTGCCAAGTAGAACCCTAAACACGTGAATCGTAATTGTAAACTCACTGAAATTTAATATTTATATAGCCAACTATTTACTCACTATTATTAGTCATCATTATTATTAGTTGTAATTTAATCTTTAGCGGTGTTTACTACTGAGTGTCCCGCACATGTCTACAAATCACTTTTTCTATTTTTATGTTCATAAATAATACTGAATGTTCTTTTACAGATTGTATTTATATAATAATAATAATAAAAAAAAAAAAAAAAAAAAAAAAAAAAAAAAAAAAAAAAAAAAAAATATCAATAAGATTATTTTTATCCTTTAGAACTACAGCGAGTCATGAACATTCAAGAGCTCAATTTTGACAAAAATTTCAGATATGGTAAGGGTGCTAAGGACAACAGTGTAAGTGTTGTGTTGTACGGTCGTTGAGTATTTATTTTTAAAAATTTAATCGATTTTATATAAATTCATTTATATTTGCGGTGTTGTGCCTATAAAGGGTTAAAACAATTGAATATCATTTAAAAATATAAATGAAATGCAACTGATATGCTTGCCTTTTTGCTTGTCGTTACTGTGTGTATTCACTGCTTAGGTGATTTTGAACTTAGACCAACCATAAGAATAAAGTGGGTCAACTTGTAAATTGTGTGCCTACAGAGTGGGTAACTACTCCAAGTGGGAGTTCGCAAGCACAAACATAAGAGCTCAATTTGCTTAGTTAAGTTTTATTATGTCTCTACTTATGGTCTACTTAACTTTAATGCTACATTTTGCAGAAACTAACATGGTAAACTATGTACTTACTCTGTAAGAACCACACAACTGCGACACATGGCAGTATATGGACTCCGTTGGCATTTTGGCTATAACTCAACAATGCTTATATTTGTACATTTTTCCGGACACAAGTTGCATTGCATTGAGCAAACGGGTAATTCAACGCATATAGGCTTACATTTCAATGCGCAAACTGGACAACTTGTGCCCATACTTGTATTATTCAAGTTTTACTTTTTGTTTGTTCACAAGTATTTTGTTTTTTGTTTTCAGTTTTGCAGAAGTCATGAGGGAAGGAAATTTTTAAATACGTTGCCTTAGACATTTGGGTCATTTCAGTTGTACCAGTGGGTGAGTATATAAGGAAGTTTAAAATATGTTTTTCATATAATATAGGGAAGTAAAGTGTTTTACATTTTGCTAGCATTTTAGTTCTATGTCCTTTTTAATATTTTTATTCCTCAAAGCAATTTTGTTTGGGAGCGACAAATAAAATAAAGGAAGACCTACTAACTTCTTTTCATTGAGTTTGTATGAAGCGGAAAATTTGAAGTTAAGCCCGTTTTTGCTATTTTCCCCAAAGTATTTTTATTGCACATAAATGTGTTTGATATATTATAAAATATGAAAAACAATTTCTAAACGAAATATAAATAAATACAGAAAATGTTTAATTACCTATAATGGTTTTTCACATTTTTTAATGTTTGATAGGTTTTTTTTTTGAATCAATTTATTTTATTACAATCTGTCATGTAGGACTGACAATAAGTAATATTTATTACGATCTAAAAAATAGAAATGTGTGACCCATGTATATGTACATATGTAAGAAGAAGTTCTTCTTCTGAGCCGTGTAAGAGTGTTGGAGGGGGACATCAGATGTGTAACCAGTGGGTTTGGGTGCATATATATGCGATGAGAGTAGTTCTTTATAATACGAGATATTTCTTCCTTGATTGTCGGAACGTGTAGGTGTGTATGCAGCTGTTTATTCGTTACATACCGAGGTGCATTTGTGATTATGAGTAGTATTATAGATTGGAGTCGCTGCTTAATTGGCAGGTTTGAGTCTGCTGCAGTACCCCATAATTAGATCCCATAACTCCATATAGGCTTCAGTACAGTTTTGTATATAAGTAGCTTATTTTCGAGAGAATGTTTGAAATTTCAACTGAACAACCAAAATAAGTTTCGCAATTTGAGAGACAAGGCTTTAGATTTTTTGAATATATGTGTTCTTCAGGTTAGTTCACTATAAAGATGTATACCCAAGTATTTTGTTTCTACAGTACCAAGAACGTTTTGTAGTAAATGTTACCTGGACAGATTTTGTTTAATTTGTTTCATGTATTTGTTCTATTATGCTATGTTTTTGGCGAAAACCGAATTGATGATCTGGGAAGAGTCTGGTATGTTGACTTATTGGTTGATATGATTTGACGTCTTCTAGGCTCTTCCCTGGTTTGGATATCATGCAGACTTTCGCTATCTTCCACTATGGCAGAATAAACCCCTTTATTAACACGATCTTAAGTAAATGAGTAAGAAATACAAATCCTTTTGGTGGTAAGTGCAGTACGGCCATGCCTGTGATCAAATCGTATCCTGGAGTTTTTTCTTACTTTTGACTGTGCTATTGCATCCATAACTTCCTTAATAGAATATGTTTTATTTGGTTAATATAATATAACAAATATAAAGTCCCTAAGATGGTATTTATTATGTGCAAACTAATATTTTCGTTTCCAAAGAATATTAATAAAATATATTTAATTCTTTATTACACCCCGTAAAAAATACAAATTATCATAATTAAGAGATTTGACCTCATTTCAATATAAGTTCCATCCAAAAAAATTTGTATTTTAAAAGTGTTTCAAAATTATTATTTTTATTTTTTTTTATTATGTAGTTAGTAAAATTCAACTTATAAAAATGATAATTACTTTTTATACTAACTGCAATTAAAATAAAGGAAACAATTATTCAGGTAGATAATAATAAAAAACAATTATTTATAACTCAATTTTAAGAATTTGAATTTTAAATATCAGATTTCCAACAGTCCTTTTTTTTAGGTAAACCTCTAATGTTGAACTTAACAATGTAAGTCTATAAAGAAATTTTGGTAAAGTGCGGTATGTGTCCACACATTCTAAATATGGGGTTCTATTTCTCAATATAGTTTTTATTTTATAAAATGGACAAATAATAAATTCAAATTATTATTATACAATTTTATCTTAATTTTATTAGAGAAAAAAATTTCATACTAAAAAATAAAAGGGTGTACACATAACATAATTTAAGATTTCTCAAACTAGGTAATTACAAGGTGGACCAATTGAACTACAATATGCCAGAACACCTTTCGAATTCATTTTAAATTATTGAGGTGGCCATCTATCAGCAGCTCAGTTCTTAGTCGATCGACTTAAGATCCTTTATACATTCTTCGTACATTCATTAAGAAAGGTATTTAGGTCATTAGGCGATATACGTATGTACATAGTGTTGCCACCAGTTTGTAAGTTACGGCAATTTAATTTCGGTTGCAATCTAGTTGGGCCACTCTGTTTGAAAGCCACCTAACAAATATCAAGAATCTGCTGTGGAACCCTAAGTCAGACACTGTTGTCAATTCCAACACTTGTTCTATTCTAAACAGAAGTGGGAACGTGAACGTCCTTGTAGGGTAAAAGCAACAAAAACTATGCTGTATATTTGATTGTGCGCATTTATGGCATGTGTGTGTGTGCGTGGCACTGATGTGAGAATAATTGAAACGTTATAGCCCGCAAGGAACTATCTCGAACGGCTTCACATTGAGGCGAATTGATCTGCGAATTGTTGTCTACCGATTGCGGATGGATTAAGAAAAGCAATAAAAACTAAGAATAAACTATAAAAATTTGAATTAAAATATTTTGCATTTTTTTCGCAAGTAGCGAAAATCATTAAAAATTTAACACTTTTTTATTTGTGACTTGGCTTAAGTTTGCGCTTGGCAACTGTGGAATCGTTTTTAATGTTTGTTCTTTTTGTTACTGCTGTTACTCGTATTGAAGCTTTTTGGCATGTTATGACTTTTTATAGGTTAAATGCTGATTGTGTAATGCATTGTACTCCGTACTCCGTACTGCATGTCTCCATGCCGAACCTTAGAGACGAGTAGAGCAAGAAATATGCTTAGGTAACAGCTGAGGAATGACGTAACTCCAATGAGGGATGATTTCCTTTCTCGATGTCCTTTGGCATCGTTTATTGTTTGTATTTCCTATCGCAATGCTGTGCACGTGATTAAGCCTGTGTGATTATGTTCCAGTCTGTGAATGTGTGAATACTTGAGTTCTGTAGTTCACATTTCAATATCCTGCTCTGGCAGCTGCTGATGATGAAATTCGTGTCACGTGGTCTTTATTGAGTTGCCATAGTTAAATGTATTTCAGCTTTAGTTAAAATCAAATATTGACACAAGGACATAAAAGCATATTCAACTTACGAGGTTGGGTAGCGCAGGTATGGTTTCATGAGTTTAACGCATTACATTGGTATGTTAGTTAAAATTCCTTCGCAATTGCCAATTTAGTTACTTATATTTATATTGTATTTTACGGTAATTAACGAAATAAACGATATGAACCAACCACCTTAAATAACTTAAATAATTATGGAAGAATGGAAGAAGATTTTATGTGTGTTATAGTACAGTTCTTCTGAAAGAAGATTTGAAATATGTTAGTAGAAGAATTTTTTTGAATTTTTACTACTCATTTCTTGATTTATGGTAGAAGCACTATTTGATGCATTTGTTCATAATAAAAATAACGTATTAGACCCTTCATAACTACACTAAATACTACTAAATACTTCACTAAATATTTATTGAATGTATATGGTTTTGTTTATAAATTTTTGCACGTTTACGAGATTGCTTGATTCTCGAAATATCGAGATCTTTACTTCAGCAGGCTTACGATATGATTTGGTTCTCGAGATATCAAGATCTTGTTACGAAAAATGTTAATAGCGCAATTATTCTGAATTTTAATCTTTGAATTTTTAGATTTATAATAGAAGCCCATGATGTAATAGTTTATAATAGAAATAGCGTATCAGACTGTTCGTTATACCTACATTGAATTAAATTTTTATTGAGTGAATATGATTTCGTTTAAAAAATTTTGCACTTCTACGATATAGCTTGATTTTTGAGATATCGAAACACGACATCTAGCGTCAATAGTACATTAAATTTTTATTTTAAATTCATTTTATTATTATAGGTTTATTATATTTTATAGTCAATACAATTTCGACGATAAACGACGATTGTTTGTATTATATATATAAAAATTCACAAATTTTAGTTTAATATCTCGTGAATCAAGTAATGTTGATATACAGCGTAATGAAAATATCCGATTAAATTAAAATCTGTTGTTAAAATACGGTGTCTTTGCTTTTTTAACATTATTTTTTCTTTATTTTTTCCCTGATTTTTTTCTTTCTCTTATACATAGTAGATTTTCCTTGAGACAATGCTATGTAGACAGTCATATGACGAATGGTCACGGCAATGTCCTGCACTGTTCTGTCATGACCGAAAGACATGTCATACAGGAAGTCATATAATTATTGCCAATTTCGTCATTTTACTATTATTTCGATACGTATTTTTGTGTTTAAACTTAAAGGGTACTTATTTTTTAAAAATAACATATTCACACAAAAAAATACTTACATATACTAATAATAGACGTAAACTCTGACATTTATTAACTAGCGACACTTTTTTGATCAACTTGACAAGGCACAGATAACGTCGTCACCGTGATTAAATTTAAATCGAAATTCCTCTCTTTTTCTCATTGTCAGTTTATTTTATTTACATTGGTCATGTACGTGACCATGACTCTTTGTATATCATGGCGCCTATCCACTTCAATTTTTTAACCCCTTCTTTATAATTTATTAAACCATCATCATATCTTTTTAATTCTTTAATTATTTATTAATATCTCTATCATTTTTATATTTTTTTTGAATATTGAACATTTATGAAACAAGTCATTCCATATAACTTTTATTTTGTTTTATACGCCATTTTTGACGCTATCAGTTAGAACTTTCATGCGTCTTTTGGTATTGAACTTGTAGAACTGATCTTGATGTTGTAGCTGGCACTTTGGCGATGTCTTATTTTATTATATTTTACATATTAGCTGCATGATACGAAAAGAAATACTTGTATGAGTGAAGGGATGAGCAATGCGAAATATTTTATATTCAGTTTATTTGTTTCAGTAAATTATTAATTAAAGAAGTTTTACTTCTCTCTTATATTGATGTCTCCTGTGCGGTGTTCATGTGTGGTATAGTAAATTACTTTAAAGATTTTTCAGCTCTGTCTCATAGTGATGCCTCCCACCCAATTAATTTCCTTAATATTGTTACTTCATTCTTATTTGTTCTAAATTTTTTTTACTCTTTTCTAGTTTTTCTTATAAGAATTTCTCGAATTTTTTTACTTTCATCACTTTTCTATCTATAAATGTTATTTATCCAACTACTTCCTAAATATCATTACATAATAATATAAAATTCGATGTACAATTTGAATTTATGTAAAATATATATGGTATATGAATAGGAAAGGTCATATATTTTTTTTCAAAATTCTTAAACTTACTATTGGGTAAGAATCTTTCCGTTTGATTAATTGAAAAAGTATTCACAGCTATAGATGTGTCGTCATTTAGTATATTATAAGAAGAGTAATGTCAAACAATTGTGGTTTAATAAAAGCTAAAAAAATTATTATTAAAAGTATTTATTATTTAATTTTTATTACATATTTAATATCGATAACCTTATTTATATCTTTATCTGGATCAACTAGTCAAAAATTATGCTAATATTCTCCTATATAAATGCGTTCGAATAGTTATAAGAAATATTTAAAAAGAATTAAATAGTAGATAACTTGCCCTTGTTAATTCTACTAAAATTATATGAACAGCTTATAAAGGAATATATCACCACAGGGCTCTAGGGTATAATTTTCTCCGCAAGTATAAATTCATTTATTCGCATATTTCACGGGAATCGCACAGTCATATGTGAAAATAAAACAAAACAAAGAAGAAGAATTACGATATTAATAATTTTTAACTTATTTTTTAATTAAATGTTGACTGTTCCATTTTACTTTGCAATCACAATTTACACATTTACTTTGCTCTTAAACAGCGGATTAAGCTCAGTCATGCGCTCAAGATCCGTGCTTTAATTGTGGTTCCCAAAAAACCGCTATTTGCACTCGATTTACTCACGTTCTTACAAAATAAATCAATAGAAAAAATCAACTCATATTTAACTTTTCATATTTACATTTCACATGCCTACATATATTTATATTTCGATATGTATGAATTCAATGATTGTCCTCTATATATACATATTTGTATATATATTTATTTGAGCAGGCATGCGCATGAGAAGCGCTCACATTCACTCATATGGGGGTGGCAGGAACTTCTGATTCTTAGCTTTTGTTTGAGTGGTTCTAAGAGTTCGGGAAATTTTTAGTATTAATTTAGTACACTCAGAGAAAACAATATTAAAATTTTTTCAAGGCAATCTTTTATACAAAACAACTGGAAAATTGTTGGAAACACGTTATAAATGGAAAACTCATCAGAAAGCAGAGGCCGAATGGTACTGCAATCCAATCTTCCATATACGAGAAATTTTTCACTATTATTTAATAAAATTTTTGACGTAATATTTAGTAAACATACAATATGTTTATATTTAATACTGAAACAATTTTTGCATTATTTTTCTCTATTTGTTTTATTTCTCTATTTTTCTTTCTATTTGATTTGAATACCAAAAATTCTCCTCCAATTTTAGAAACACAATCCACAATTTAAATCTAAACCATTAATAACCGTTTAAAATAACTCCTCAATTATTTTAACTTCATAACGTTTAACATATTATAATTTAATGTTTTATAATAATAATGTTCTATAGAATACTTTTACTACATTATAGTACATTTATTATAGTACATTTGTGTCTACAGTACGTCTCAATTAACGAGTTTTTGATTTTGTTTTGATTAGAAGCTCGATAACTAACCTAATAATATGTAACGCAATATATTATATTATACTATATGCTA